TAAACTTGCGCAGATATGATGAGTTCCAGTCAGCAGTGCTCGTCAGCAAGTGTATGCCGGCGCTCAGAGATGTTGTATCGGATCTTGGCGGATGCTTGAAGCTGACCGAATGCATAATCCATTAGTGACCACCGATCACTAATTCAAGCCAGAGGTTGGGAAGTCCGGGCTGCCCAGCTAACCTACCATAATCCAACACCTAGTTCCGATTAGTCAACGAAAAGCGATATATACTTCGCTGGCTGCGTGGCTGCTTCGAATGTACCAATCACGTGGCTGGAAGTAAGCTTCTTCCGGATCTTATATGCCTTTTCCGGCGTTTCCTCAGACTTACCTTATCGAACATTTTATGAAATCATGACACCCATTCATTGATATCTAATGGCTTTTGCTGACAATTAGAAGGGCGTTTTTGTACGAGTGATTCATGTGAGATTGCTGGCGGCAAGGGGACCATCCCTTGCAGGGGCCCTTGGCGATCAGGCTGGAAGTAGGACCTGTCAATATAATAGTATCGGTGTGCCTACAAATCCGAGTAGATCTCTGATAATCATTTTTCTGCTGGAACTTCACCCGCTAGCATTCAGACAGTATGGAGACCATGATGGAAATAGTGCGCGATGCACCGTTTGGTCAGCTCGTCCGCTACGCAACACGTAACCGCGTCTTCAGGTATCCAGAAGAGTTACCTGGCTTTGAGATTCCTGCTGCCTACACTGAAAGGAACACTGGAGCCTCTGGCTCGACGACTCAAGCGCACTCTAACAACTCCGCAACCGCCATCAGCCAGCCAAACCTGGACCAGACCACTGACGCTCCCCTTCCAGACGACCTAGAGAAGCTCCCCTCTCGAACTGAAGATATTGAGAAAGCCCATTCGCGTAATTCAACCTCAACAGACCACGAAGAACTTGGTGTTCCCGCAGCGACAATCGCTTCGCACACCCTCCCCTTCAGCCCTGAACGTCTTGAAGCCGAACGTCTCGAAGCCACTCTCTCACTCCATGGATCGCGCTCAGCACCTCATGCTATCGTTCCTACAAAGACAGCCGACGGTCTCATACTAGCAGAATGGTACACCACTGCCGATCCAGCAAACCCTCACAACTGGTCTCGGGGGAAGAAAGCTTGGACGGCGTTTTTAATCTGTCTGTATACGTTTATCGTGTATGCAGGGAGTTCAATTTATGTTAGCAGTCAGATGTTGGTTATGGAGAGGTTTGGAGTGGGTGCTTTCAAGGCGAGTTTGGGGTTGGCGTTATATGTTCTGGGTAAGCACTTGCGTGTTCTTATCTGTCGATACTCTTCTTTGGTATGATTAGGCTGACAACGTATCGACAGGTTACGGAATTGGACCGTTGTTGTTTGCGCCGCTAAGTGAAGGTAAGAGCATATCCACACGTCTTCATCTATTCCTCTCCAGATAGGTCACTACCATCACGAAGATGAAGTTTGACTGACAGCTCTCCCAGTCCCGCAGCTCGGCAGGAACATACCTTACATCACTACCTTCGCTCTCTTCACAATCCTGACTCTACCTGCTGCACTAGTGGACAACCTCGGCGGTCTCCTCGTCCTCCGTTTCTTGCTAGGTTTCTTTGGAAGTCCGTGTCTAGCGAACGGCGGAGCAAGTATGCAGGATCTATATGCTCTGTTGCAGTTACCATATGGCCTTGCTTTCTGGACGGCAGCCGCATTTGCTGGACCAGCACTTGGACCTCTTCTGTCCGGATTTTCTGTGTATGCCGAGAACTGGCGCTGGTATGTCTCATTCCTTCAACAATTTGTGATATGCATTGCGTGTTGTCTCATGCTGATCACATATCGTAGGTCACAGTGGGAACTCCTATGGATGGCCGCCCCAGTATTCCTCCTATTCTTCTTCTTCTTGCCGGAAACACAACCTACTACCATCTTGCTGCATCGCTCTGCTCGACTTCGTGCACTAACAGGCAACCCAAACATCCACACGCAGACAGAGGTCGATCGCAAAGGCATCAAGTTCTCCGCCATACTCGCAGATGCTATTATCAAGCCCTTGGAAATTTGCGTAAAAGACCCTGCTCTCTTCTTCATTAATGTCTACTCCGCTCTAACCTATGGTATCTACTACTCATTCTTCGAAGTCTTCCCCTTGGTTTATCTTGAGATATACGGATTCAATGTTGGCGAGATGACGATAGTCTTCTTAGCAATTATTGTGGGGTGTTTCATCTCGATTACGATTTACTTTTCATATCTGGAGTTCTATCTCACACCGGATATTTTGAAGAGAGGGTTGAGGCCACAGGAACACAGACTTGTGCCAGCAATATTCGCCAGTTTCGGTGTGCCGGTCGGACTGTTCCTTTTTGGTGAGTTCCTGACCGCAGTTTCGAGGAGCTAAAGTGGACGTTAATGCTGATATATGTAGGCTGGACGGCTCGCCACTCCGTACACTGGATTGCTACAGCCATCGGTATCACGATATACTCGACCAGCGTTTTCATCATTTTCCAGGCTGTCTTTTGTAAGTTGTTCCTGGACTTCGCGTTATCTATTTACTTTACTGACCCCTATATAGCGTATGTCCCCATGTCCTACCCAACATACGCCGCGTCCCTCTTTGCAGGCAATGACTTTTGTCGCTCGGGCTTCGCTTTCGGTTCCGTGCTTTTCTCCCGCCCTATGTACATCAACTTGGGTATAGGAAAGGGCATCAGTCTTCTGGGTGGGTTGAGCGTGATGGGTATAGTAAGTTTGAACTACCTGCAGAACCTCGCATTGCGCTAATTCGGATTAGATCGGTATGTATCTGATTTGGGTGTACGGCGCAAGGCTGAGAGCAAGGTCGAAGTTTGCTGTTTGAGATACGACAGGCTACGACCGGAGGAACACGAGCAACAATAGTGGCGTCGTAGGGAAGACGAGATAGACTGTTCCATGCGTCATCCGCGAATCTTAGAAAGGAGTGTTGGGTCTAGGCCGTTTTGGGACTAGATCTCCAGCCCTTACGGTGCGTGAATCCATAACGCGCATGTGTTTTCTACTATCATGCTCGCTATTCAACGCTATCGAGTTTGATTCGCGATCTACAACTTGTAAAGAACTTCAACCAGCTTCTGTGCATGGTCAAAAGTGCCGCCCGCTGGCGCGTCTGCAATAAAGTGTGGCCTTTCTCGTTCATGGCTCGGCAATCTTCAACCCCCGGTGCCCCCGTAACTATGACCCACGCACTCGACGGCTAACGCCCTCGGCATGGCATGCATGGAGGCATATGCCGCTGTGAGTGTCAATGGTACGTTCATCAACGCTCTTAGCAAGGATCAGAGCTGTTCCTGACGCGAAGTAAGAGCGTTTCGATGTGAACACCAAGAATATAAGCTGCCACGACGCGTTCCACCCTCGAACCCTTTGCACCAAGGCTCTCGCTCACACCAGGCACCGTTCCCGGCCTTCCGCTCTCATCGCAGGAGTTCCGCGTATTTGGCGGACCTTTTGCGGTGGTTGCAGTGCATAATGAGCGACGTGACGCGCCTTGAGCCTCTTCCTTGGAGATGTTGGTATATTAGTGGCACAGCCTGATGCGACACATCTATTAACGCCATAGCGGCCCAACTTTTTGGGGCCAGCCTTGTCCGTAATGTTCGTATCGGTTAACCTTCCCCAACCTACACAGGTATACGATACTTTTTGCTGATGCGCTCTCGCCCTTAGGAGCGTAGCAATAGCATGATCGTACACCACGTGAACGCTTCTCGGGTATTACGCAGTCTACAGCCTATAAAGTAGTCGGAGGACCTCTTGTGGATACGAGGATTCGTGCCGTTTCGGATAACGTGCAGCATGCAGTGACGGGCTGGCAGGAGCTGTATGGTGTGGTAGCCGCCTCATTGTAAGCGCCCAACCCATGATCGCCTCGCATACGCCTGTCGCTATGCTCTGCGCCGCTACTGAGATCGGACGCACTTGCCTTGACGGCAGACCAAATCCGGTGAGTCTGGCTGCATGTTATGTCTCATTGCGTTACACCAATAGTTGTTGCTCCGATACTTCACTTCTTTCCTGTCTCTAGCTGCCTCGGTGCAGTATTTTTTTTAAACAGTTCCATGCTAAATAAGCCATCGCCGCTCTTCAAACTCCGTTACACATTGGTACTAGTATGTTGGTCTCGAAGGCTATAGTCACAGGTGATAAGCGCCCACCACTCATTACATATGTGTCTCTTTACTTATCTAGTCTCAGAACATCCGTATGTGACGCATTGCAGAAGACATCTCGCCGAGGCTCAACGTGATCCTTTGTTCAGTGCACCCCATCTGAAAGACTTCTTGGAATACTTGTCAGAACCGTCACCGCAATGGCCATTTGACGATAAGCCCTTCACCTGGCCATACCCACGACCGATGATTAATGATCATCGGCGCTCTTCAGACACCAGGTCAAATAGCTTCGATATACCCGAAAAGGTTACAAGAGATCATGAGAGCCTGGGGTTGCTTTTCCTCAGTGGTTATCCTTCCTCGCGTTGGCTCAAAGATGTTGGAGAGAAGTACAAAGTTGACATGCACTTTTTCCAGCAACACTTGAGCTCTATCAGGCCGTCGGTACATGTTGATGTATTCGCTGAGCCATCTTTACCCTCTAGCTCTGGCCACACCCTCAAGCTCAAGATACCGACCATTGGTTATCTCGGAGATACAGGGGATTCGTTCAGAGATATGTCTAGGACTAGGTCGCTGCTCGTAGAGGATCTCAGACAGCAAACCTTAGACAACGCCCAACGTCACCCTGTTGGACAGCCTATCGTTAGAGATGTGTATCTACACAATCAGGAGCATTTCACTTTGTTACAAGAGGTATCTATGTGCTTACTGCGAGATAAGAATATGTGGACAGGTACCGCTTCTCTAATCACTGCATGTATTAGGCGCTGACAATGCAAAGTACTCATATGGACTGACGCTGGCTACGAGGACAAAGATCCCGATCTTTCCTTCCTATTCAAGAGAGCGCCCAATATGCTCCACATCGCTCCTAAGCTTTGTCCGACTGTTTTCAATCGACCCATAAGATTCGGCGAATCAGTATACTCTTCCGTTACCTCATCTGACGTGCGATTCGACGCAACTCAGGTTTTCAATAGTCTTCACAAAGCGTACGGCAAGACTCTAGACCCTCATCTGACGAGCCAAGATCCTTTCTATGCTGTCAGCGAGGTGTACTCGTTTGCTGCTGCGGCCGAGAACCAGTTTTTGAATATGATGAGAAACATTCTCGACAACCGAATCGAGAGCATCGTGAGAGAGAGCCTTCAGAGTAAGAACTCGACACACGATGCTCTTCCCGAACGTGCCAATATACAGTATGATCGTACTATTCTCGACGCCCATTCCGATCGCATTAGCAATGTCATTGCGTTCCTCAAAGCAGCCGACGACCCAGTGTGGTTTCCAAATGTCGATCACCATGATCGACGCGAAGCCGTTAGAGCACGGACGAGCCTCGTGCACGATTTTCAGCATCTTCATGCTCAAATAATACAGTTGATCCAGCGTTGTGAGAGGGCTATGGATATGGTTGCACACAATGCCTCTCTATTGGAAGCCAAAAGATCAAATCTACAATCTGAGGGACTGGAGAAGTTAACACGCCTGACGACAATTGTAACCCTGCTCTACGTACCGCTTTCGTTCGTATGCACTTTCTTTGGCATGAACTTCTCAACTTTTGGACAGGGCAAGTTGAGCCTTTGGATCTGGGCTGCGGTCAGTGCTCCGGTGATGTTAGTTTCGCTAGTCTTTCTCAGGCGGATGTTGAAAAATGATTCCAAGAAGACGCGGCTTTGAAAGCAACGATACGAATGAATAACAGTATGAGAAAAATATTGCACCCTGGTACTTGTGTCATTTAGCGGGACCAGAACGCCACACTACTATCGAAGTCTGCTTCCTTTGGAGACCTGCTTTTAAGTTTCCCTTTTTTCGCTTCATCCATATGCTTCCAATATAGCTTCTTAGCCTCTTCGTAAATCTTGTCAGCCTGTTCAATCTTGCCCTCACGTCGTGCTAAGATACTTTCAAGATTTTTGGTTCGCGCGCGTTCGGGTCTGTAATAGTCCCGAGTCTTGAAGACTTTGAGGGCTTGGCTAATGCAATCGCTTTGTCGCAATTAGTATGTGTGATGTAATCAATGGCTTCAAGTACATACCGTGCCTGACCGAAGTCTCCAAGCTCAATATACTTCATCGCGAGCTTGTGGCACACATCCGCTGATCTATGATGGTACTTGCCGATTGTTTTCTCATAGTGTTCGTATGCTTGTTTATACCATCCAAGTGCCTCTTTTCCGTTATCGCTTTTATCCTCGCAATTCTGGCTGTCTTTGACGTTGCCAATAGCGTGAGCGATTCTACCAGGTCTACTCAAGTTAGCATAGTCTATCGGATAGGTAGGCGCCACTTGCGCAAAGCTTGTGTTTTCTCCAGCGCGAGTCAGCTCCTCATGGTAATTCCAAGCTTGTAGTAGCGTGTGCGAGGCCTCTTCGTATTGCCCATCAGTCCATTGAGCTAACCCTAGATTGGCGGATGCCAGTAGGTAGATCGATTTAGCAGTTTCTGAAGCATCACGAAAACGAGATGCTTGGTCGAGCGCAATCTCAAACAGTTCCTTGGCTTTATAAGTTTGGCCCATCATCATCTCAGCGATACCCATCTCGTTATTAGCCACCATCAGAGCGTCGAAGTCGGCTTCGCTCTGGGGATCTGAATACTTTTCTTCTGTCATTCGTAAAAGGCTTTTGTAGTGTTCGTAGCATGTTTCAGGGTCATTGACCTCAGTAGCTACACAACCAAGGCTAGTGTGGATCTCGAACATCAGGCTCTCGTTGCAATCCAAGTGCTCTTTACACACGTTGAAGGCAGTAGTCAATAGTTCTTTTGCTTCTTGAGATCTTCCTCGCTCGTGATTGAACCTGTGTCAGTCAATTACGGCCTGATCTGTCGCGTAATCGGGCGAGAGGAGACAACTAACCATGCTGCGCAGTCTAGCAGCCTTACGAAGTCTACACTTGCGATAGTTTTCTGGTTTTCCAATTCTAGCTGCACATAGTGGTATCGCATCTGAACGACATGTGGATACAGATGTTCGGCTCGTGGCCAATCTTTGCGATCGTAGTGCCAAAGTCTTTCGTTTCGATTCCATCGGGTAAGAAGCAAACTGACAGCAGTATCAAACGCCTCCCGTAGCTGTTCCCTCGTCATCTGAGAACGCGATGCATCCTGAACGACACGATGGACGCTTAATTGAGACTTGATTTGTTCGATAATCTCTTCTTTGGATCCTGTCACGGACCCGATGTTTTCCTCAGAGGCACTGTCATTCGCTAATACTTCATCCTTTTCTTGTTTGCTCCGGTTTTCCGCAGTTCTGACTAGTGATCGTCTCCAGAGTGCTTGACGGGCTGCGAAATAATCATTCCAAGTTTTCGGATAATCTCTGGCCTTGATCTTTGCCGCACCCTCGGTCAAAATCTCTTCTTGAATGTGATCGGGGTCAAGAAACGACAAGACATTCATAACCATACGAGGAGCTGCATCAAGCTTGTCAAGCATCCATACTGTAGCTGTGGTATGTGGATACTTGCTGTTGCGTATCTCCTGTCTTTCTCCGTGTAGTTTGTGATGATGAAGTTCCTCATTGTACATTTTCAGCAGATCGTTGAAGCTGAATAATCCGTCGCTCATCATACCAGCAAACTGTGTGAGGAACAGGGGATAACCTTGAATGCGGCGAGCGAGTTTCCGCGCTGCTTTCTCGCTGTCATGTGTCCGTTTACGATTCGTCAGCTTATGTAGAAACGTCTGTCCTTCTTCTTCAGTAAATGGCTCTAGCGCGATTCTGTAGGTCGATGTTTCATGATCTGCATCGGAATAAGAGGTGAGTTTCCCAACATGCGGCGCTCTGCTTGTCATCAGTATAGATCCTGTCCCTCTTGGAGGCCAGAATCCTTCCATAACCCCGAAATCATCAACATTGTCGAGCACCAGTAGCCACCGAGCTTTAGGTAATGTCGCTATAGTTTGGTACCCGTATGTCTTGACAGGATTCTCGAGCCATTGGAGCACCAGATTCTTGCTCATCACCCAATCTCTGTCCTCTTCTGGTTTTTGCAAACCTAACCCCAATGCCATTTCGCCAAAGCTACTGGCTAGCTTCCCTGCGGTGTCAGCATTCAGCCAAAAGATGGCATCGAACTTATTCTGTCGACTTTTGACGAATTTGTAGGCGATCGAGGTTTTCCCTGTTTGTATCAGCTGCTGCTATGATGAATTCATCTGCTTGCAAACCTATGCCTCCCATGCCAGAGATAGCTACTGTTCTTAGCTCTGGCATTACATCTTGTCCCTCTTTGACAAGTAAGTGCTCATCAATCTCTCCAAGCACATCCTCTCGACCAAAGAAGTCCCTCACGGTCACAGCATCGTCGAGTAGGTAACAAGGAAGCTTGAGCTCAAAATGAATGAGCGTTTCATCTCTAGGAACCTGTGACTGGCCATACGAAGGATCGAATGTAGCTTGGGCGTAGTTTGGCCTTCGCTATAATATCAGCACTTATCGCAGTGATACTTAGGAGCGCTACAACTGACAAAGATGTTTGCATTATGCTTGCACCAGTAGATTCGCCATCGAGTGTATTGAATGTATCTACTTTCGCGGCACCTTCTAGTGCAGGAGATTGTACTTTTCGTCGTAAGCTTCGTGAGCAGTGCTCCGTATGCGGATAGGCTTACTTATAGAGCCAGATGAATTAAATCTGTCTCGAGCTAGGCGGAGAGAATCATGGCAGAACTCAATGAGGGTAGCTCTGAACTGGTTGCTTTCGTTGAGTGCGCATAGCCCGTAATGGTCAGTATCGACAGACTTAACATTCTCAGTTGTTAGGTTAGTACAAGCTAGGTCAGAGTCTGGACCCTAGCGTTTTTGTTAGTGATCGACTGTCCTATCGAGTATTTTCACATACCATAATGTATGTGCCATCGCCTGCAGATGCTATACTCCACCACTTGTTTTTCTTCTTCTTTTTCCTGCTCTTCCTTCCTTCTCTCGTGGACAAGATGGGAACGGATAGGTTCAGGTGTTCGAAATCACGCGACCATTGAGCTAGTCGTTGTAACTTGGATACATCCGCAAGGTCCTCAGGTAGTGGTAGCATACGAAGCTCAAGAATGGCGGGTACTTTGGCCCATTCTGACTTGTTGCTATCCCGAAGATGAGGACTTCCCAGAAATACTATACCAGCGAGAGAGTCGAACAAGAGTTTAGTACCTTCCTCTCGTCGACGCGCATGTACAAGTAGCTTGTGTCATCAGCAGTGGACCGACAACAGTCAATGCGCAAACTGACCCGCTTCAAGATGAGTCCACCTAGACTATGACACAGAAATAGAAGAGGCCGATGCTCTGGCTAGGTGATCATTTAGCAAGACGCTTTGCTCGGAAACACATGACTGACATCCCATGTGTGAATGAAGTCTTCGACTTTAGCGAGCAATCGCTCTGCCTGAACATCCAACTGGCTCCATTGCTTGAACGTTGACGATGTCAATTGGTGTTCAAGTACCGTAATCTGTATATTCGAGGCCTTGTTGTCCTTCCCGGTAAGGTCGTGAACAAGCGATACACTGTGAGCTTTACTCCATTCCTCAACCCGCTCATCGTCTATTCCAGGTATTGCTAGAATGCTGGATACATATGAGCGGATGCATTTATGAGTTTAATAATCTTACTGAGCGTTAGGTCGGGAGATGTGCTTCGAGGTGCCCCCTGCTGCGGGCAAGTGGCGCAGTAAGCACTCCTCCATCCTCTGTTGCTTTACGATCGAACGTTTAGCGTGTTGCGTAGCACGAAATGTGCTCGAACATAGCGTATAGCGGCTCTCTTGTTAGACGTGCTGGCTATGAGTCCAGTGAAGTATGGGGACCCCACCTAGGCTGAGTTCGCCAAGGACGGCCAGCAGTGTCGCCGCATGTACGGGGGTGCATTATCACTGTATCACCTGCCTTGCATCCTGGCGGCGTCTAAGCCCGCAACCACGCCACATGCATAGTAAGGCAGACAGGTAAGTTACGAGCGCTCACACCTAAAGCGGGGTACCTAGGTAATCACGGTCTGCATATACTGTCTGGCATTCTCTACTCATAGAAGCGGATGCGTGCTATTGAAGAATGATAACTTTTACTCGCACCGCTCTAATGGCAACAGAAACGGGACCAGATGTCCCATGGCCGGACCGCGAGGTCGCTACTTGGAAGTCGGGCCGAGAATTTAGCATCGGCGGGAGTCGTTTCGTCACCAGGCCCACCAATCACGTAGTCTGCCCCTCCCCAACCACCCTATGGTATCGTTACTGACACTGGACGCGAACCGATACACAGTCGGCCAGATGGTTCACAAAAGCACTGATCACCGTTATCAAAGTCTCCCCCGGCGATACCATTGATGCAGAGTATCTCAGGTCGCGCATACGGCAATACACTGATGATTGCGATGTTTTCAGACTGGACTTTTTGCATTGCATACAGTTCTCGGGTGCATGCAGAGAAGACGTCGAGTTGAAACAAGATGCAGAGGTACAGCTTCAGGAGTGGGGGAATTCGTGGGTGAAGTTTACGCCTGGGAGTAGAACAAATGATGGTCCTCCACCAGGACCGTATGTTGCCTTGCATGAGCATATGCAGCAAGTTTGGCGAGTGTACGACGACGACGCGAAAGCTTTTCTAGTCTCTACTTGGCCTACTGAGAATGATGCAGAGTAAGTGATGATAACGATATACGCCAGGGGGTTTTCTCATAAGGTTCTCTAGACGATACGAGAGCAGTGGTCTCGCAGGAGAAGCTTTCACTTCACTAGGAGTAGCCGTCCCTTCGCGACTCTACTTCACCAAATCGGAAGAACGGCCACTCAATGGCGTTCGAATCGCCATCAAAGATATGTACCATCTCGATGGGATTCGGACGTCAGTCTGTAACCGAGCATACCATGACCTATACCCGCCGCAGACCGAGACTGCTGCGTGTGTGCGAATCCTGATATCATTGGGAGCAACAATCGTTGGAAAGACTCACCTGAGCTCTTTCGCGTGGAGAGAAGAGCCTACGGAGTGTGTTGAATATCCAGCGCCTTTCAACCCACGTGGTGACGGGTACCAATCCCCGGCAGGAAGCAGTAGCGGTAGTGGAGCGGCCATTGCATCTTATGAGTGGCTTGACTTCACACTGGGCAGTGACAGTAGGTCACTCTCTCTCGTATCGATCTCTACTAATGGGTGACAAGCGACTGGAAGTGGAAGACGACCCGCTCTTTGGAATGGATGTTTCGCTTTGAGACCTTCTGATACCGCGTTGTCTTCCAAAGGTATGGTCTTGACATGTCCTCGATTCGATTCACCTTCGCTCTTTGGTCGTGACATTCATACCTTCAACAAATTTGTTCGAACTTGGTACGGGGACTGCATCGACAGCCAGGATAGGTCTGACCGACCTTGGAGAATCGTCTATCCAGTGGACTATTTGCCAGTAAGGAATAATGAACAAGCGCTTGTCTTCGACGATTTTGTCGGTGACCTAGCGGCGTATCTTAATGTTGAGCCTGAGATATTATCTATTGCAGAGACATGGAGGAAAACTCCACCTGTCGAAGAAGGTGACATTTTGAAATTCATGGAGAATGTAAGTGCAGACGACTAGGTCAGACTCAAGAAGCTAATGGAAGATTTAGACGCAGGTACACGGCTTCTTCTACGAGCTCTACCACCACTTCGATGAGTTTCGAGAAGACTATAGGAGGAAGTATGACCGAGAGCCGTTTCTTTCTATGCCTCTGAAATGGGTGTGGTAAGTATTTCAAATCCCTCAAATCTTGTACCATGCTGATGCTAGGAGGAATTTGGGACGTCTAGTCGACGAGTCACAGAAGAATCGCGCATTCGAGCGTTACAGCGTGTACAAAGATTGGTTTCTTAAACATATTCTTCGACCGGAGGAGACGCGAACCATAGTGGTATTGCCCATCGAGGAGCTCGAACCGCGCTACAGGGATATACCGCCTGTGCTGCCTATTGAAGCTCCGAAGGGAATCAATGTCTTGTATTTGAGTCCCATATTAGGTGCGCCAGAGATCGTAGTACCAGGTAAGCACAACGTTCGCTTTCGAGGGCAAACATTAATATTCACAGCCGGCCAAATATCATTCCGATCGCGTATCACCGAACATGAAGAATATCTGCCCGTGGCGGTATCTTTGCTCGGTGCTCCGGAAACAGACTTGGAGTTGACCGAGATGACTGAAGATTTTCTCAAGCATGCGGGTAGATCTACAAGAGTCTTGACCGGAAAGACCATGTTTGGTGATGACACCAAATGAATGCGTCCGGAATATGATATGCAGAAGCAAGGTTCATCACATTGGCCTAAACAATGGTTTTGTGTCGTACTAAGTCAAATAGATGGGTCATCATCGGTGATTGTAAAAGTGCCTCACCAAGTGGATCACCATCGGAATTCTGATCGGCACTTCGTGTGACTCAAACTGAAACTTGATTGGTACATGAATTGCTGCAACATATGTACGACGCGCGCGATAAGCGGGCTGTCCGGTAAGATGCGCCTGAAGGATCAAGTTGCCACTCCACCAATGACCTGGCACGATATGATCATCCAATAGTATGAGCAGTTATTGGGTCATAGTAATATATTTACATGCATGCAGATCTGTGCAGATATCGTCGTAGCGACAAAGAGATGGCTCCGGAGCATGTAAACATTAGCGGTGCGATACATAAGTTGTCTATTACGTATAGCGTCTTGAGCTTTGCGTGCAGATACGAGCGAAGCCTTGAGTCTGCCGTATTACCATAATGTCGCTACTGTGTCTACACCAGTTTGAGGCTTCATCATAGAGTCATGTAACAACGCAGTACCAATAGAGTCAATCACGGCATAGAGCAATAATTGACTACAGTTCCTGATTTGTAATGTCTATATCTCCTCGTTTGATGTACCTCGTCTGCATCTCCCAACCCTTTGAAGACGTGTTAAGTCTAGGCTGAGTTGGACTTGGCCTAGATCCACCATGCTCCAGGTCCGGCGTAGTATTGGTGTGACAAGCACGCATTTTCTGTGTTAGCAACATGGTATATCGACTGTGATTTTACAGAATCCCATCTTTGGAGGCGAGCCTTCCTCGTGGAGTTTGCATATATCCAATTTCCTCAACCTTCGTAAGTACTTGACACATCTAGCCGCTATGCGCTGCATGTAAAGATTATGGCAGCTTTGGACAGACAATTACTATTCTCATGGCTTTTGGGAAATGCGTAGCTAAGTGACATCGCTTCACAGCTATGCTTCTGCGAGACTTATCGATTCGCTGCCTCAAATTTTGCAATTGAACCACAGTGCCATTCTTGCCCAAGTTCTTTCCATACTAGCAATAAGAATCCGTTATCTCGAGCCCTGTTTTGCATCTTCACTTGGACCAGAACACTATTAGATCATCGATGTCCTCATCCTCAAGCTCGCTCGGGCCGTCTTTGATCTTCGGTCCATCACCTTCACGCTTACTTCGTAATCTGACGTAGACCTGATAGCAATTTGCTAGTTCGCTTTCTGCTTCCTGTGTCTTCGCAAGCGCACTCAACGCTTTGGATCGCATCCAGCACGCTCGCACTTTCTCTGGGATGTAGGCGTGGGAGATGGAAAATGCGCCAAGAGCATGATTGAGGAGAGCGAGTGCCATGTCGTAATTTCCAAATTTAATGTGGTGCTCTGCAACTTTCACGAAGACATCCGCAGTACGATGATGACGGTTTCCAAGGGTCAACCTGTAATGCATGAGTGCGCGGCGATGGTAGTCTAGACTGCATTCGACGTTTCCCAAGGCGTGAAAGAAGCGGCCTGTGATGAAGGACACTCGGTCTTCTCTGCCAAACTCATCTTCGCGATCTTGAAGTCCCTTTTTGAGTGTGCTCGAAGCTAGCTTATTGTTTCCTTGTAGCCAGTACGCCAGACCCAGGTTAGCCAGCTACAAAAAGGTCAGCATTTATTAGATGTGTTGCAAACAGATAGTACTCACAGGTAGCGAGGTCATGGTCTCCCTAAAATAGCGGTATTTGCGCATCTCCTCAATGCACTTAAGGAAGTATTCTTCTCCCTTCTTCCAATTACGATTGAGCATGTGCGCATTTCCCAGCTCATTCCAAGAGATAGCGAGACGCATATCCTCAGTATTGTTCTTCAAGCTCTCCTTGACTATCTCTTCATTGAACATCGTGAGATACTGCATCGCATCACTTGGCTCGTTGATCTCGAGAGCTATACATCCTCTGTTGTGTGCTATCTCGAGAAGCGAATAATCTAGCTTTGAGAGTGTCACAGAATTGTTCTGTGCAAGTTCAGGATGCTCCATTAAGCGAAGTTTAAGGGTTTCGCATATTGACTGAGCCATGTTGTTGGGGTAGATCGCATCGAGAGATTGGCCACGTTCGTGCTGGTACCAGCCACTATCTATGAGTAGCCTGGCGAACTCGTAGTCGTCAAATGAGTCTGGATATGATTTGATTGATGGATAAATGGTTTTGAGGCGCTGGACGTGGGGCAACAGCTCCTCACAAGTTTCCCATCGGGCATTACCATGTCTCCAGGTGAGCTCTTGAAAAGTCCATCTGTCGTTGATCAACTCCACACAAGCTAGGAAGTGACTCCTCATCTCAGACTGGCGTAATCTGGTTCTTGCTACATCTTGCACAAGCCTATGTACTGACAACGTTCGCTTGCCCTTGTTGCCAGTAATTAAAGATCGCGCGAGCAACTCCGTGCGCGCGGCAACGTAGTTGGTTTTAACAAACTTCACCAACGCAGAGTCGTCTTCGTCTACTGGCGAATTGAAGATTGATTCTGGTATTGAATCAGGATCAAGCATAGAAACGATGTTGATAAGTGTTGAACCTATCCCAAGCCGGTCGAAACCCCACACTGACGCGACGTTAAATTGATAGTTACTGGAAGAGCGCAACTTGTCCGGACTTTGCCAGTCGAAGAAGGCCTGTGAGCCCTCACTCTCCTCGAAAGAGTAGAGGAAATTCGTGAATGAGATGTCCTTAGAGGCGACTATGGAACCCATTTGGCTCAGGGCTAGCGGTAGACCGCCTAAACGATTGGCGATTGTAGTTGCAGCTGCCATTTCGGGACCGGGAGTTGGTTCCTGCCCGGTCACGCGGAACAAATAGTTCGTGGCTTCAGATAGGCTGAAGGGCTGCAGCTCTAGCGATGCTGACCATGAGTACGGGTTGCGGCTAGTGATGAGCACAGAACCTGGCCCATTGTATGGCCAGAATCCATTCAAAACATCGCCATTCTCCACACCATCGAACACCAGCAGCCAAGAAGCCAGCTCCACACTCTTCTCGCCTTCGCAAGAACTGTTTTTCTGGGGATTAATGAGCCATCGCTTCAATACGTCCTTCGTATAATCCAGGTCCATCGCATTTCGAGAATTAGCTTCTACTAAGCCTAAGCCGATAGCCAAATCCCTGTAGTCTTGCGCAATCTTCCCAACGTCGTCTGCTTGAACCCATAGAACAGCATCGAATTTACTTCTATGCTTGGACGCAAAACTTGCTGCGATCTGTGTTTTCCCTATACCTCCAGGACCATACAAGGTATAGCATCTTGGCCAGCTTATGGGCTTATTGTCCGTCGATTCGTCATCGATAGCCATACATAAGGCCTTATCCATATCATTCAGCGCATAATTTCGGCCGTAGAAATTTGTATAAGGAGTCACAGGTACCTGATAAGCGGGAAGTAATGGTCCAGAAAATGGGTCGGTTGTAGAATGTTCAAGAAAGAGACGCTGTAGAAGAGGTTGCAGGGTCTCATCTCGATCATGTCCAAAGTAAGGTTTCTTTTCGATGAATCCCCAGTCTTCCTCATAGGAAGATTCGGAAAGTGTCGTTGTGTCTCCACTTCTAGTGGATATTTCGCGTGAGCTATTGCCATAAGGGACCTCGGAGAGTTGTAGACCTGTTGCATCATCTGACGATAGGACTCGAGAGTCGTTCTCACTTTGTATAGTGGAGTCGTTGGCTTTGCTTGTTTGAGAGCGGCCTTCTGAATGCTCTTCGACTTCGTCTTGCCATGGTAGAGCTTTGACGGCAAGGAATTCCAGATGAGCCGCTAGGTGTTTTATGATGCGGTCCGATATTGATCTGTCTTTCTGCATCTGACTATATCCAGCTGAGTCTCTGATATCAACTTCGGTCGGTATGTAAGAACAAAGAGGACACTGTGGAAAGATTGTGATTGCTGGCACCTTTCCTCGCTTGGCTAATAAAGGCAATTGCGAATCAGTAAACGACTTTGCATGCTGACTCCGCATATGTTCAAAATATTCCTCTTCGCTTGTGAACAGTGTTGTTGAATGGGCTTTTGACGTGCACCTCCAGCGGGTTTGGTGACCCTGGAGGTGAGCTATCCAAGTGGCTTTGTCCTTGAAAAGCCTTGCGTCGTCTGTGCATCCTTCAAAGAGACACGTGTATGGCTCGAGGTCCTCTAAAACATGTCGTCTATAGTGACATCAGTTTTCAGCTCGTATAAAATACTTCCAATCTCGAGCGACAGAACGAGCATGCGTTTGAAAGTACATTGATGAATCCGCGATGACATACCTCCAGTTAGAAGCTCTTAATTCTTTGATAGGCAATATGAGGCAGCAATACGGGCATTCAATCTCCTTACTACCATGAGCGGGCTTGGGTGGGCGCGGTAACTCTACTGGTGCACTCGAGGAAGGCGTAGCAGTGAAAGCCGTAGTCTGATTCGATCTCGTCTCTTCTAATACAGTATCAGTTGGAAGAGGCTGCTTCCGAAGCGCAGAGGCAGGAGTGTGTAATTGGGTGGAAGCTCTTAATTGTAAACGCATCGGCGTCACCGTGTCCACTGGTGCGACTTCATTTTTCGTTCTAAAGGCGTTTACTGTGACGTCCGTTTCTTGGACTTGATTAAGAATCCCCGAATTTGGTTGCATAGTTTCTTTCCATGTGTATAGGCCGAAAAGGTTTTGCTGGTGGTATCTTCGGTACAAGAAACGCTTGCGACGAACGACTATGCCGTTCGATAGTTTTGAGCGTAAGAATTCAGGCGCATCTGGAAAGCAATGATTTAATATCTGCCAAGTAAAACCTGCGAATGCCTCGTTGATTTCGTTGCCATCGTCATCTTTCATGATAAACCGATCGGCTTTCTCGTTCTGAGACGACCTCGAAGGTTGGCGGATCAGTAGAGAAAATCTGAATAGACGGTCAATCGCTCTCTCTATGCCTGATAATGTCTTCTCTTGCAACGAGTTCCAAGCCGAGGTTTCGGGTGTTAGTTCGTCCTGAACTGACTTCGTTTCCGATCCCTGGAAAGGTGATGATACCGCAGAAGATTTCGAGTTATCAAACGATGCATCTCCGATCGATCTATTTGCTCCAGTAAGGCTGTCGATACGTTCGAGTATCCCAGATGTTTCTTCCGGTCTCAAGCTTACAATAGCTTGAAAGGTAAAGTTAGCTAGTCAGGACTGATGACGAAGACTAATTCTTCTTGAGACTCCAAAACACGTCGCCTGATATGGTACATCAGTGAGGGGATCTCACTTGCCTCTGTGTATGAAATCTTCCAGAGCGATAAGGAACTGCAGCATGAACTTCTGTGTGCTGATGGTATCACGAAGGCGGTAATCGAGTGATGCACGTCCTTCAGCAAAAACTCCTATATTGCCAGCCCATACCTTGAACCTCACATACTGCTCCTCAATCCAACTGGCACCGTAAGTATCATTAGAATCCTCGCTGGCGGGGTCTAGCTCCTCGCTGATTTCGATTAGTAGCTTGAATTGTTCGAGGCATCTTTGAGCAGCTATGCGAAGCTCGTGGGACATGCTTAATGAAACATCGGTGTTCAAAGTCGACACAAGGGGAAGCAGAAAAGCACAAGGAACAGTTGAGCAGTCTCTGGTAAGATATTCAGGTTGAACTTCTGATACAACGGCGAGTCGAATCGCACAAATGGTCCGTCGGTGATCGATGGTGTACGGTAAAGGGACCGTATTGGTGGCTCATGAAGTGCGCTGGCGGGGTAGGGCGCCAGTCAGCCTGATGACGCCATCTTCAGTTACACCTCACCGGAGGTGTCGTATCTGGGCTGTGCTTCCACAAACTTGGGATCTCTCAAATAATACCTAGATAGTCTTTCAATTAGTTGCGAAAGTTTTGAGCCTGTCCGTCGCGACAAAATGTCTGGTGCTGAGCTCGCTTTGGCTATTGTTCCACTCGTTATTGTATTAATAGAACACCATCGAATAGTCTTTACCAGAGGCAAAGCCTTGATTTCCCCCAAAAACAACAATGCTCAACAACTAGACTTCCACCAAGAGCTGCATGGAGAGTTATGCTTGCTTAAAACGACCCTTAATAGAGTAGAGGTTACTGCCACCCGAGTGAGGCTCGGCGGAATACAACCAAACAGACCCCTGATCGAATCAATCGAGATTAGACTTGGAAAGGATGCAGACAGTTTTCAGCTGATATTGGACCATGTATTGAAGAGCATAAACGATCTGGTTCGTGAGGAGTCAAGTGCGCTGACGCAAGACGATACTGTAAGTGCTATGCTGGAATACTGCTTAAAGGCTGATTTTCTTAGGACAACCCGCGCGCCATGTTACAAAAGCTCCGTCGCTTTGAACAGATGATTAGCAACGGCGAAGCACCAAACTCGATCCGTGCCAGGTTCCGATTTGCCCGAAACGAGAGGACTCGCCGAGTCGCCATGAGACACATACATGACGGAGTCAAGACTCTTGAACGTCTACTGAATTCTTCAGCAGAGATCTTTGATTATCAAAATGGATCAAGCTTGCACAAAGTTCCAGATACGAGAACAAGGAGATTTCCGGAAGATTTGTTCGTAAGATTGGCGGATAAATGGTCTTGCGCCTGCAGTACACGGCATTTGGCAAGACTATGTTTATGGAACTGTTGTTGTACGAGTGACAATCGCGGTGACCTAGAAGTCAGTCTCGACATTATCATATCTATGTCCGTCAACGAGCAAGGCTCACCCCAATGGCAAGAAAGTACAATCCACGTCACGCAAAGGTTGGTCGCAGGATCGTATCCAGTGTAGTACCGACCTTTACTGAACTGCATTAGTCAACAAGACCAGCTCAATAAGAACACTCTCGATGACACTCGTCCTCGGTTAGCAGATATCCAAGCACCGTCCAATCTTGCTTCAACACCGATGAGTCGCAACATCGACTCCCAATCTTTGTGTGGCCTGTTGAGAAGAGCAAGAATCTCGAACAAAAGCCTACAGATATCGTTCAAAGATGGTATGCTCTGGCAGCAAAGACCGATATTACCACGCTTGCAGATTTGTGATCAACTGGATGCTTCTCTTAAGAGTTTGCTCGAGAACACGCAAGAATGGCATAGATGGAAACTCCGTGACAAGACCATACTAGCAGTGGTTTTAGCACATACAGTCATGCATTGCTCTGAAGGCCCGTGGCTACACGCAGAGTTGAACAAGGAACATATATTTTTCTTCCGGAAAAGCTGCGCTCAGCCTCCAGATCTTAGTCGGCCATTCCTTGCGATCGACTTTGCACAGCAGAACATAGTGGCGAATGAAGAAGACGATATGTTTCCGATCCACTCAAATCCTTTTCTCTTGTCTTTGGGTATTGTTCTACTGGAGATTAACAGGGGAATCTTGATAGAAGATTATTGGTCTCAGAAAGACCTGACCAACGGCTTGATACCAAATGATAGCACAAACTTGACAGCAGCTCTTCGTCTACTAGAGGATATGGACGGACACCTGGTAAACGGATCCCAGAAGGCGGTAAAGGCTTGTCTCCAGTGGGATAACATGAACTATGGAAGGGAGCATGAGGATTTCGCAAAGCGGATGTATGAGCTCGTCGTTAAACCACTAGAGGAGGTCTTACTATCAGGCTTCAACATTACACCAGAACAGCTAGGACTGACGGAACGCCAAAATCACAGGGGGTGAAAGGACACAAATACTGATATCCACCACGAGATTAGGTGTCTGGACACGTAACACGACAGTCACTCAGGCAATACCTAGAACCAGCTCATTTTCATTGCGCAAGTATCATGACAGATGTGCTCTGGTGAGTTTTCAATATTGCTACAATGCCAACTTCGTCAACTCTCCAGGTCATAAAGTAGACATCCTCCGGTCCTGAAATTGTACACGAAGGCCTTTCCAACAGGCCCCTCCCCGTTCGCTCCCCCTTCGCCTTTGCTATCAACCCACCTCGCCCTATAGCCTAGCAGTAGATCATGCAGCTCTTGCAGGTACTTCCTCTCCGCAAGCGGCATCTTCTGAATGAAGTAACGCCATGAATCTGGGTCGCTGAGACGCGTCTCCTTGAGAAGATTCATCACTTCTTCCTTCGATTCGATAGCAGCGATGGGAGCAGATTGGAAAGCAGAAAGTAGATCTGTGGAGCGCGATTGCGCCGCCTCGACAATAGACCATTTGTTGCTCTTCTTCGACCGGTGCTGAGCTATAAGAACGTCAACGTTCGCTTTTGGTGCACTGGTGGTGTTGTTTGAGCTTGGTGGTGCGGCTTTTATGAGGCGAGCTGCGCTTCCTTCACGCTCTTCACGGTCTCGGAGTTCGTTTCGGAGATAGTTCAGAAGATCTGGACTGCGCAGATCTGTGTCTTCCTTCTTTGCGATGGACTTGACTTTTAACTCAGGCTTATCAGGCGCAACGCCGTGCTTGATTACGATGACCCAGCTGTGCCTATCGTCGCGATAGTGACGTAGGATGTCTTCAATGGAGTGCGCATCGACAGCAAGTTCGGCGGTGTAACCATGGGCGATGAGGTCTGCTACCATCTTGATGCCCGTAGAGCGGAGAACATTGGGGTCGAAACTAGCGACGAGACAATCGCAGCGTCGTGGCATCCATGATATAGATGGGGTGTCTTCTTCGGCATGTTTCCGTAGGAACGTCGACTTCTCGGGTTTCTTAATGTATCGACTCATGGAATTGACTAGCCGATCCCATCCTAGATTCACGCCCACGGCATGAGACGCAGCTGCTGGGTGTGCGTGACTGGAGGCTTTCGGGCGATATTCCTCGATCAACTTGTCGTACCTTCCGCCCGCAGCAAGCACCTCTTTCTGCTTCGTATCGAAAAGACATTGGAAGAGAATGCCACCAGAGTAGAATTTCTCGTTGAAGCTGCTCAGCACGCTGATGTAGATTTTGCGCTTCACACTCCACAGCTTCGTGTAATCGATAACAGAACTCAGATGTGCAAAGATGACATGCGTTCGTTCAAGGTACTTGGTGCCCTCGAATAATCGTCGCAGCTTCGCGAATGCCTTTTCCGGTGTGTCGCGCCAGTCGAAACGCGCTAGGTCATCTAACGAGGTCGATGGGATGCCAATGTCTGACGATCGTAGTTCGTTACGGATCAACTGCCAATTGTTCTTCCCAATATTCAGTTTACTGAGGGCCGCCTTGACCGCTGCGCGCTTTGGGACGCTGATCCTACAGAAATCCATGATCATTTCTAACAGATCGGCGTGATTCAAGTGGAAACACATCTGCGTCGACCGGAACGAAGGAAACTCATCGATGATCTCGTCAACAACCTTGAGAACCTCTGCCTCTTTCAAGGTAAGGTCGAGCGTGTCATAAGATAAGATATCAAAATCCGCCTCGCCGTTACTACGTGGAGCACTTCCGGTGTAGTTATCACGGTAGACGTGACCGATCGTGAATGTCTTCTCCAGAAAAACTCCGCCGCGACCGATACTACGCGCGTAGGGCAGAGTCAGATCGTAGGGCAGCTGGACCAAAGTTCCAGAAGGGTCGAAAAGTTTTACGACGTGACTGTCTGCATAATGATCAGACCAAGGTAGTAGTACCTGACGTTGTATCTCAACAGCACCATGGCTCCGAAAGACCATGGCTAATCTGTCTCTAACAAGATTCTGTAGAAGCACGTCGTTGGCCTTTATCGTCTGGGTGGTCGCGCTGAGATCCCAAGCATGGTCTTTCGCTTGGGTGTCAGGCTTCTGTGAAAAGAGAGCAGCCATCATTTTCGCGTAATGTGGCGAGTTGCGATCTGAAAGGGCTTTGAGAGCTTCCTTGACGGCTTCGTCCTCCATCTGGGCAGGTACCTTACCGCTTCTCAAGAGTTCAGTGCATCCTGGCCGCTCCGAAGGGCGATGGCTGATAAGGGACTTGATGATGCCACCTTGCAACGACTTTTCGGGGGTTTCAAATTCTTGTGGGAGATCGTGTTTTCGTTCACGCAACGACCGAATAACCTTGTCACGCTCCATGGCAGTCCTTAGGGGAAAACACATCTCGAAAAAGATGATGCCCATGGAGTACATGTCCACTTTGTTGTTGTAGTCGCCGATAACACTAGAGCTCAACTCGGGAGCAACGTAGAGTGCAGTGCCTACGCTTCGCGTCATGTCGCCACCGTCCTGTGTACCGCTGGAAGACTTCGTATCGGATCTCTGATATTGTCCACTAGTAGCTAGTCCGAAGTCGCCGATCTTGGGGACTTTAGCCATATCAATGAAGACATTGTCGGGCTTGAGATCACGATGTATGATACCATGACCATGGATGTGAGCGAGCCCTTCGAGAATTTGCCGAAACAGCCTCCAGTACTCGTCTGGATCGTCGTACAGACCTGTACGAATCAAATCTCGAAGGGTTTGCTTCTCACAAAACTCCATTTGAATGTACAGGATTGATCTTGACGACTTGGTAGGCATCGAATCGGACATGGCACGTTTTTTAACTGCCGGCGAAAGCGATCCCAGGCTAGCTTCATCTTCTAAGCTGGGTCAGCCTATGACATGTTTGTAAGCTCAAATGAAATAGAACTTACCTGAATCGGAACCAAAGATTACTGCACCAACATCATCTTCCGACTCGTCGTCGGACCCGAATTCGATCTTAGGATACCCACTGGAACTGATGAAGTCTACCCCCCCACCGCTTTTCCCGTGACCGCCACCATCTGTTGTCGTCGTGGTCGGAGAAACGTCCGATTCCCAGTCAGACTCATCTCCATCTGATGATGCAGAGTCGTAATCGTCATCGGCTTCAGCTTCTGGCCAGGCCGTGTAATACCGTACCACACAGCTATGGTTGAGCCGTGACAGAAGCATGACCTCTGAGAGGACCTCACTCAGTGCTGCTGCGGACTTTTGCTTAATCTTCTTGATGGCGTAAAGGCGACCATCGACTTTGTTACGAGCTTTCACGACTTCACCGTATCCACCCTTGCCCAGGCGCCCTTGTTCGACCCAATCATTGGCGTATCGTGAATATGATGGAACGACGCCGGATGAAGACTCACGCCGTAGCCTATAACGACCCAATGACGTCGATGAGTTTCTAGAACGTACAGGCGTGGAAGGTCGTTCGTATACATCCACATCGTCGCGCAAAAATTCGCATGGGATCAGATCGAAGGCGGACGGTCGCTTCTTGGGATCAGGTTTAAAGAATTTGCGCAAGACTTCTTGCAATGGCTCCGAGCAGCCAAGGATATCTGACAACTCCTTAGGCGAGTTGTACTTCCCAGGCGCATCGAACCCGAACAGCATCTGAAGGAAGGTGACTCCCAAGTCCCATACATCAGTTTTACGAGTGTGATGCGCATCCTGTGAGAGTTCAGGTGCTATCCAGTAGAACGATCTTAGTGGTTTTGTCGGTTGTACGTCTTGATACAGGCTTTGTAGGTGGTATAAAGAACCTTGGAAGCTAGCATCAGCCAGAAGCACTGTTATACCACCACCAAAAGATCTCTTGAACAAGATATTGTGCGGATGAACGCGTTTGTGGACTATTCCGTTGCGGTGATAAAAGTCCAGTGCTTCTAGGAGCTCGATGGTCCAGGAGCGAACTCGTGCGACCGGCAAGGGTCCATCGTCGGCAAGTCGCTCGCCTAGGGACCCTCTGTCAGCGTGTTCCATCAGGACACTGATTTCCCACCCAGAGTCAGGAAGATGCTCAACTTTGAAGTCCAGGACGGATAAGATGGCGCCTTGTCGTAATCGTTTGATCTCCTCCATCTCGTCTTCGAACCCCATAATAGCCTTCTTCAGCTGAGGGTCAGCAGCAGCATTCCCACCTCCTACTCGAGCCCGCTTCAATACTAGTGTGAGCGTTGTTGAGCTCCCAGCCGGTTTGACCAGTAGCTGTTCTGTTAGAGGGCCAGAACGGAAAGGGAGTGGATTCTCAACACCGTTGCACTGGATTATAGTATCTTCATGCTGAACGGTAATGGTTCTGTCGAAAGAAATGTAGTTGACATTCTCGCCGCTGGGGAAGTACGAAGGCGGAGTGATGGCGGATACACGATGCTTCTTGCGCTTTGCCATCAAGTCTTTCCGGCGCATTTCGTCGCCTACCATCTGCTGCAATAGGCGCTCTTCCTCGGCCTTCTCCTCGTCCCGCTTCTTCTGTAACTCTTCTTCTTGCTGTTTCAACTGTTCGACTGCAGCCGCTTCTTGCACTGCTCGCTCAGCATCCAGATTCTCGTAAGCTCCGTCCGTCTCGCGGACTGCAATCTCGTCCTCGAGTATCTCTTGGATGGCGGTCGCAATGTCGTAGATCATTACCTCGCCTACTAGTTCGCGAGGTCGGTTCTTTAGCAGGCCATAGAGCCTATCCCATGTGCTTTTTCTTAGGCTGCCACCATCTTCTAGAGTAAGTTCAGGTAGCGTTTTAGGGTAGGTGGCAGTGAGTTTAGCACAAAGTGTAATGGAAATCTTCTCGTTGGAAAAGGATGACAACTTCAGGCGCAATACGCGATCTGTAGTTTTCTATGCTGAAGTTAGCGCTTGCTCTGAACTGAGATTGAGTCATCGTTGGGCAAATTGATATGTCGTGGTAACATCGAAACTCTGTGACTTACGCTCCATGCACCTTTGGCTTCTGATTCTTCATAGTCGTCCATGAAGACGGCCTTCAAGACTTCGCGCTCATCTTCTTGT